CGACACACCTGTGCTACACACCAATCCACACACCTATTACATGCCACTGGGGTTGCTGGAGGTAATCAATAGACCATCTCTTGGGGTGGCCTGGCGTCAACAACGCTAATAGTCTCCTTTCCTCAGACTTGTCTCCGCAACCTGACATCCTTGTTTTACCGGGGGTTGACAGGTGGTGGGGAGGGGGTGGGTGATGTTGATATCTGAATAACATTCATGTTTCAAATCTGCGAATCTTTGACGGATATTTGCCAGCAGTGTGGAACGACATACTTGATGACACGTAGTGAGAAAATAACACTGTCACAATGTGTTACCACGTTGTCACCGATAACACCCATGTCATAGTATCGCACTATTCTGTCACAGATAACACTCGATCATAGTATCGCATTATTCTGTCACAGATAACACTCAGGTCATAGTATTGCACTATTCTGTCACAGATAACACTCAGGTCATAGTATCGCACTATTCTGTCACAGGTAACACTCAGGTCATAGTATCGCACTATTCTGTCACAGATAACACTCAGGTCATAGTATCGCACTATTCTGACACAGATAACACCCAGGTCATAGTATTTCTGTCACAGATAACACTCAGGTCATAGTATCGCACTATTCTGTCACATATAACACTCAGGTCTTAGTATCGCACTATTCTGTCACAGATAACACTCGGTCATAGTATTGCACTATTCTGTCACAGATAACACTCGATCATAGTATCGCACTATTCTGTCACCGATAACACTCGGTCATAGTATTGCACTATTCTGTCACAGATAACACTCAGGTCATAGTATCGCACTATTCTGTCACAGGTAACACTCGGTCATAGTATTGCACTATTCTGTCACAGATAACACTCAGGTCATAGTATCGCACTATTCTGTCACAGATAACACTCAGGTCATAGTATTGCACTATTCTGTCACAGATAACACTCGGTCATAGTATTGCATTATTCTGTCACGTATAACACTCGGTCATAGAATTGCACTATTCTGTCACAGATAACACTCGGTCATGGTATCGCACTATTCTGTCACCGATAACACTCGGTCATAGTATTGCACTATTCTGTCACGGATAACACTCTGTCACAATATCCTACGTCTCTGTCATAAACAACCCTGTTACAGAATCTGTAATCGCAAGTGTAACAATGACAAACACAAGTTAATTTTAATATAACATTTATCGAAGCAACCTGTGGCACTTCCTTGACCTTTGACCTTCTATCGTAGCATAACGCTGTAATACAAATAGTGTTCTCTATGCGATGCAACATATGTTTACATCAAATGCCTACAAATAGTGTTCTCTATGCGATGCAACATATGTTTACATCAAATGCCTAAAAATTGTGTTAACCTTCCTTCAACATAGATTTTTTTTTCTCTGATATTGAAATGGATATCAATATTGGACATCAATATATGAAAATCAAAATAAATTTCATTTATACATTTGAACCAAACGTTCTGCCCATTCGAACCAAACGTTATGCCCATTTGAACCAAACGTTCTGCCCATTTGAACCAAACGTTCTGCCCCTTTGAATCAAACGTTATGCCCATTCTGTTTCGTTCTTGAAAAGACAGAAAACAGTATAAACAGAGGATCACATAGAATATATAGCTACTTTAAATGAAAGTGAAAGTACCTCATCTCGCCTGTCATCCGACTACCACCCTGTTACATTTTCGTCAACATCCACGAGTGGACACCCGACAGCCCCTGTTGTATACGCCGTGTGCTGTTTGTCCTACAGCCGTACATTACGATATTGGAAAATGTCACGCGGCCCCGTGCTCCCAGTATCATCACACTGCCTCCCCTCGGGCCACCAGCGGACTCTCACTCGTCGACCGTTCAGCCGTCTCTCACGCGCCTCGTGATGTGAGCGTCTCAATCGCGGCGTTCGTCAAAAAAAATTTTTTTTTTAGCCTTGTGGAATGATTGTCCCACTACCATGCTGCCACAAATCTATTAGCATAACTCTGAAGGACATGTGTCAAACTCAAGGCCCGCTGACCACATCCGGCCCGCCGTAAAATTATATCAGACCCGCCTGGTCTTGACCGGCTTATAATTATATTCAAGTCAACGCTATGGTGTTTCCCACTGCACACTTTGCTGAAAACTTCGCTTACTTCGCGCCGAGTTCGCACGGCGCTTTAGTGACTTTGAAATAAATGTAATTTCGCTCTGTTTCAGCTCGTTACAATAAAGGGAATTGGATCATTTAACATCCGAAGATTTAGCCATACATACACGAACAAAAGCGAAGTAAATATAAAGTTTCTAATAACAATACAACCAAAACACAAGAAAAATTAAAAATTATTTAAAAAATAAAGCAAAACATTATGGGCGTACAAATAAGGCTCACAGGCACGCGTGCCAGTAGCACCTGTCTCTAGGGTCTATAAGGCTCACAGGCAGTCCCAGGCACGCGTGACAGTAGCACCTGTCTCTAGGGTCTATAAGGCTCACAGGCAGTCCCAGGCACGCGTGCCAGTAGCACCTGTCTCTACGGTCTATAAGGCTCACAGGCACGCGTGCCAGTAGCACCTGTCTCTAGGGTCTATGATACATAGGACTGTATCATTAACCTAGCCAGTAGCACCTGTCTCCAGGGTCTATGATGCATAGGAGTGTATCATTAACCTAGCCAATAGCACCTGTCTCCAGGGTCTATGATACATAGGAGTGTATCATTAACCCAGCCAATAGCACCTGTCTCCATGGTCTATGATGCATAGGAGTGTATCATTAACCTAGCCAATAGCACCTGTCTCCAGGGTCTATGATACATGCATAGGGGTGTATCATTAACCTAGCCAATAGCACCTGTCTCTAGGGTCTATGAAAAGTAGGAGTGTATCATTAACCCAGCCAATAGCACCTGTCTCCATGGTCTATGATACATAGGAGTGTATCATTAACCTAGCCAATAGCACCTGTCTCCAGGGTCTATGATACATAGGAGTGTATCATTAACCCAGCCAATAGCACCTGTCTCCATGGTCTATGATACATAGGAGTGTATCATTAACCTAGCCAGTAGCACCTGTCCCCAGGGTCTATGATACATAGGAGTGTATCATTAACCTAGCCAATAGCACCTGTCTCCAGCGTCTATGATACATAGGAGTGTATCATTAACCTAGCCAATAGCACCTGTCTCTAGGGTCTATGAAAAGTAGGAGTGTATCAGCCTAGCCTATAGCGCCTGTCTCTAGGGTCTATGATAAATAGGAGTGTATCATTAACCTAGCCAATAGCACCTGTCTCTAGGGTCTATGATAAATAGGAGTGTATCATTAACCTAGCCAATAGCACCTGTCTCTAGGGTCTATGAAAAATAGGAGTGTATCAGCCTAGCCAATAGCGCCTGTCTCTAGGGTCTATGATAAAAAGGAGTGTATCAGCCTAGCCTATAGCGCCTGTCTCTAGGGTCTATGATAAAAAGGAGTGTATCAGCCTAGCCTATAGCGCCTGTCTCTAGGGTCTATGATAAAAAGGAGTGTATCAGCCTAGCCTATAGCGCCTGTCTCTAGGGTCTATGATAAAAAGGAGTGTATCAGCCTAGCCTATAGCGCCTGTCTCTAGGGTCTATGATAAAAAGGAGTGTATCAGCCTAGCCTATAGCGCCTGTCTCTAGGGTCTATGATAAAAAGGAGTGTATCAGCCTAGCCTATAGCGCCTGTCTCTAGGGTCTATGATAAAAAGGAGTGTATCATTAACCTAGCCAATAGCACGTGCCTAACAGGGTCTATGATAAAGAGGAGTTTAACATCAGCCTAGCCAAAGTTTGGGGCATTTGTTATTGAGCATTGGAGTTGTCATAGCTTGTTGTCCGTTGAATCTGTTTTCATCAAGAGCTGTCGGTCAGTCAAGGTTTCCTCACGGGCTGTTGATCAGTCAAGCTTTCATTACGCGCTGTTGGTCAGTCAGGTTTCCATCGTGGTCTTGTTGGTCAGTCAGGTTTCCATCTTGAGCTTTGCGGTCCCACTTCACTAAGAGATTCAACTTTTGCCAAGATGACCTCAAACTTACGCTAATAAATTATGGTAATTGATATCTCATTGGTCGGCGGTAATTTAATCACTATTAAACATTGGTCATTGTGGCGTACTTCGAAGCCAGTTGGAGAGTAGGGGTAGCGGCCGTTTCACCTGAAACTATTTTTTTTCAAAAGTGGGGCCCCTTTTCAAAGAAATTACTTTTTTATTTCCACTATGAATTTAATATCCTAATGTTTGTTCGTAATCAGTGATAGTTGATATCCCATTGGTTGGTGGTAATAACTGATGTTTACTGGTTTCTATATCACATTGATAACTGGCAATAACTGTTAGTTGATATCACACAAGGCAAAGATGGTTCCGACTACTACAGCAGTAGGACCTACAAATTTTACCGCACAATCCAATTTTATTTCAAATCAGTATAATATTTTCTTTACTCTCGTGAACTCATGTGGGATATGGCCATGATGAATTACAATGACGTTTGCATTTATTAGATACCAGTAAAATAAATTGTGAAGACAATAATTATTAGACTTTAATTGATATCCTATTAAATTTATATTTGAATTCATAGTTTGTTAGCAAATTGTAAAAGAAAAGAATAGGAACACATTCCTTTATTTTTGCACAATATTACTATTTAAAGAAAGCTCCTTGGTAAAGGAATTTAAAAAAAAAAAAAAAAAACAATTTTGAATAAGCCAGTTAGAAATGAAAGCTTAAATTGTAAAAAAAAAGAATAGGAACACATTCCTTTATTTTTGCAAAATATTACTATTTAAAGAAAGCTCCTTGGTAAAGGAATTTAAAAAAAAAAAAAAAACAATTTTGAATAAGCCAGTTAGAAATGAAAGCTGGTTTAACAGTAGATTTAACAATGACTTCTCCCACTCAACGGAAGTATGTGCTCTACGTATTTTGTTTATGAGCACACCAGGAAGTGGTAAATTAGGTTGCTCTTTGTAGTAAAAAAGAACGAATGGTTTCCTTACACCATGGAAAATGGTGATCTTCAAAGGGTTTACAGACAATTTATTGAAAATTTTTGCAATGAAATAGATAATGGAGCACAGGAAGATAATGATTTACCATTTAGACCTTATTCATCATATCTGATGCCTTCCGAACTTGAAGGAGAATGTTTAGAATGGATTCGGCGGTACTTGTCGCAGCAGTAAGTTATTTTTTCAAACGAAAAATAATTGAGATTCAATTATATTATTATTTTTAGGCTTGTTTTGGGCCTAGGCCCATATCATTATAATAAAAATGAACCAACTAGCCCCTTAATTAATTAAGGTATTTTGATAAAAAATTAAAATTGTTTGTAAACCAATGGCAATGGGATAGTTGAATGGAGTTATTTTTTTTTTGCAGAATTATATTAAACATTTTGTTAGATACTTTGGTCAAAAAATTAAACATTTTGTAAAAATAAACCAATGTCATAGTTGAATAGAGCTAAATTTTTACAGAATTATAACACCAAAATCATATTTTTAGCTGTTGTAGTTTTAAAGTTATGAATTTTTAAAGTACGACTTGGTTTGTCCTTTTTTTAACACTCTCCACATTCTGTGACCTCATTCTGCTGTTCATGTCATTCGCGATGACTATATAGTTTATATAAGGCAACGCACCCCCGTATCACTAAAGTACTGTTTAGGGTCGACTTATTTTAAACTTTCAACTTTGACACATGAATAATTAATTATAGCTTTCCCTGACCAATGGTTTAATAGTTTTTGCACACGGCAAACTCTTATGAATGAAACTCTGAGATAGTACTATGATATAGCCGTTATGCAAGTGGCTGTGAATGGTTGCCAATGACAACGTGTTGCACACGGAAAATTCTGATCATTTATGATATTGACTCTTACTGGGTTTTTAAAGCTCAAAATAAAACATTCCAGTTTAAATGTCTTCAAAATGCATTCTGAAACACAAGTTATCAAATATTTTGATGTATATAGTGGTAATAATTAAATATTTCCTAAGTATCTGCAACTTCCGTCATTAAAAGGGAACGTGGCCCACGCCATGTCGAAATTAGGCTGAGCGACCTTATGGTGATATGGGTCACTTGGACAAGCGTAACAAACGCCGGACACGACCTACATCAATGAGAATTGGCACTCATATACTTCAATATCTAATGCTCTACACGATTTAATATGAATGACATGTTCCTTTAATTTCACAAAAAATTTTGTATGCAAAGATGCCTTATATATACCAAAGATTTTCAAAATAAAGGTCAATTGAAAAAAGCAAAATAGCTGGATGGAAATGTAGGCCAAGATGTCTTCCAAATTATAAGGCCGGAAATGGCACTCAAATATATGTCGAAAGTACTCATTCAATAATAACTAAACACACACATTGGAAAATTAAAAACTCTGATTTTTCAGCGCCGATTCCCATTTCTGATACACAAAAAGTAGTAGTCTCCCTTGTTTCATCGAAGTACCTAATTCCAAAATCTAGATTTTTAGCTGTTTAGTTTTTTTTTTTTTTTTAATGAATTTTTAAAGAACAACTTCGTTTGTACTTTTTTATACAAAAAGTAGTAGTCTCCCTTGTTTCATCGAAGTACCTAATTCCAAAATCTAGATTTTTAGCTGTTTAGTTTTTTTTTTTTTTTAATGAATTTTTAAAGAACAACTTCGTTTGTACTTTTTTAACATGGACCGCATCTCCAAATTCTGTAACCCAATTCCGCTGTTTGCGCCACAAGCTATATAACTCTTGTTTTAATGATAATTTTATAAGACTTTTATTTTGAGAACTAATGCTGTATTAAAAAATAATTTTAATGATGTTATACAATTATAGATAAATTGTAGCTTATCTAACTATGCGCTATGTGTATCATTAAATTAAATACAATGTATTAATATATAGTTTTTCTGTTACCAAATCTACAGCGTCCATTATACCGATATATGCTATATAGTCTTTGTAAGGAAATGCACCCCCTTATTACTAAAATAATGCTCGGGAACTACATATTTTGAAATTTCATTTTGGCACATGACTAATTAATTAAATATTTCCCTGACCAATAGTTTTTGCACACTGAATAAAAAACTCTGAGATAGTACTGTATAGCCATTATGCCATGCAAGTGACTGAATGGCTGGCCATGGCCATGAAATTTTGCACACAGCAAATTATGATCAGTTATAATATGGACTCTACTGGGTTTTTTAACCTCAAATTAAAATATTATTCTTTCAATAACATTTAAATTCATTCTAAATCATAAGTTATCAAATATTTTAATGTAAATAGTGGTAATAATTAAATATTTCATAAGAATTGGTATCTTCCGCCATTAAAAATTAGGCTGAGCGACCTTATGGTAATGCAGGTTACCGGACAAGTGTAGCGTTGTTGAACATGACCTACATCAATGAAAATTGGCACACGTATACATCAATATATAATTCTTTTTGCACTTAAATATGAAAGACCTTTTCTTTGAATTTCTTTAAAAAAATTTTGAGGGAAAGATGCCTTATAAATACCTATGAATTCCGACAAATTTCCTGACCAAAAAATTGTTTGAAATATGCTGTGCCAGCCATGGTATTGTTTATTTATATGATTACAAGCAATAATTAATCTGCAAACAAAATTTGACGTGAACAATTACGACAATAATTGTCGATGGCTATTAGGCTGGTAGCCGGACACTGTTTAACGAAAAGTATAATATTTTTAGTTTGGGACTGCCGTTCTGAGGAGTGCCATAATAATACTAGAGCCTAGCACTAAGCTTAGGCTAACTAATACTTGCTAATATTATTTAAGCTAGTTTTATGTAAATATCCGCAATCCATGCCATGGCACATGGTGTGTAGGATTTTCTCCCTCTTGTTTATTCTTGTACTAGTACTTGTGTTGATACTAGAGTTAACTTTTCTTTAATAGAAAATTGGAATGTTTTAAATTAAAATTTCATTGGTTGGTTGATTACAATATTTAAATTTTATGGAATTTAGGAAAATTACAAGCTGATGGCAGTGACAGGACAACCACAGGTCATCTCAACCTGTCGGTGCATATTTGAGAGATACAAAAAAAAACAACCTACCTTTGCCATCTTATATTATTTTTAGGGAACAAGATTGCTCGCAACATAAATCATGTAAATTCAAGTTTTATAAATGTCAGGAAGCACAGCTAGAAAATCCAAAGATCTGGGTTTTAACCCAACTGTGAACTAGGTGTAAACTTGGGCTTTTTTTTCTCCTTTTCAACCCTTGAGCCTATGCAGCCTGTTAAGTTAAATATTTCGGCATGCTGGATTACAGATAAATAAACTTCTTCCTGTTTCATTTGATTTACACAAAAATAACAATTTTTAAAAGTTAAGGGAGAGAAAAGATAAAAATCACATTAGTTAGATTAAATTTTTAAAAAGAATTTTGTGTTTTATTAAGTGTTAAAAGAATAGATAACAAAAAATTGTGTACATCATTTAGTGGTTGTTTATTTTAATATTATGGGTTTGACATGCCGCCCTTGAAAAGTCAAGGCTCGCCATCACAGTGACCTGTGACGCCTTTGTGTCGGCCACCCCTAAGTACTGATGTTTTTCTTATAAATCTTCAGCAACTGTCCGGAAGGGCTCATATCCCAGCTGACAAGGGCAGTCTTCACAAACTTTGATGACAGTATAAAATTGTCAGAATATTATGTAGAAGTACTTGATAGAGGCAGCAATAACAAATCTAATAAGGATGATAATATTGATGATGACAGCAGTCACAGTTCAAGTGTTGATGGTGATCAAATAGAGCAGGCTGGTCCACCTAGTGAGTACAATATATGTCTTGTTTAGCTTGATTGCTTGAAAGCTGGGTCGTATTTTGGTGTTATTTTAAAGCACATTTAAGAGCTTTGTCTTTCCCACATAAGTGATAAGAATATTGTTGTTAAGGAAGTGAGTTGTTTGTTCTTTGTGTGTTTCTTTATTTATAATGATTGCTGTTTTGGCATTTTAAAAAGAGCGTTTTAATTGCTCTATTTTAAAATTGTTATCTTAAGCAGAATGCTTATACCTATGTTGGAAATGAATATGTAGAAGTAATGAAAACACATTCCCATTAATTCGGATCAATAAAAGAATCTTATGTTAGAAAAAATAACTGTTAAAAGAAACAAAAAAAACTTTAATTTGAGAGTAGCTGAAATTAGCTATAAGTGCCGACCTGTCAGGTTTACCCATACTTTGTACAGTTTTTATATGTTTGCCGACTTGTTTGGCCATACAGCCTCTTGTACAGTTTTTCAATGGGTTTAGAAAAGAGATAGTTTTACACAAGGCACTCATTCAAAACTGGTGCAAAAAATTCAACATTGGAGAACAAGAAGCTTAAATCCCATTAGCCAGTTCAAAAAGACCAAGTTGTGGATCAGTTGGCCATCTAAATCTAGAAACAGTGTGATTTCATTGATACCATTCATTAATACTAAGACTGCTTAATACTGTAGTAACTACTTTGAATAGTAAACCATGATTATAAATCAGCGTATGTCATTCTTTACAAGAACTGCAGTGTTAGCAAGTGTTTTTTAAAATATATATTTAATAATCAATCAATGACTACGGTGCAGTGAAAAATAAGGCTATAAGTTTCACTATGTCAAAATGGAAGAACTTTATTATTTACTTGTTAATTTAAATACAGGTATCTGTATTACTACAGTTACAGCTATCATAATTAACCTATGAAGTATGTCTGGTTACATCTAAATTGCTATCAAATTTGTCAACTGTTCATTTTCTTAAAATTGCTATTGATCAGTGTAAAAAAAATCAAAATTTGCCAAAAATCTGACTTATAACAAACAATTTTCATTTAAAAGATATGATGTAGCCATTTATGAATGTGGTAAACAAGCTTAAATTTGCCTACATCAAATGGGAGACTATTCATTTTTTATTCATGCATTCAAAACATTGGTAAAAAATGATGAAAAAGTTAGTAATTTAAATTTTTTTTACTTTTCATTTTTTTTTCTCTACATTTTATTTGTTCATGCAGTTGTAGAGTTGTTGTTTTTTTTCCCACAAGTGGACATGTATAAATTAGCTCGATAGGAAGTACATGAAATGCTCCACGGGTAAACAATGGGATTATTCTAAGCCATCCTAAATCCTTAACACAGAATTGTAAAATTATCACATGATTAGTTAAGCTAGAAAACCAGCACATATTTTAAATGTACTCTTAACAGTAATGTATACATTACACAGTGGTCAGATTTTTTAATTGGCTCGAGGGACTTAATTAATGACTAATCTCTTTTTCTTTTTTTTTTAAATCAGATGTCTGGCATGGGGCTCTTTGTTGTTTCTTATAGGTGCTTATTCTTTTTTCCACAGAACTGGATGCTTTTAAACTCTTGTTGCATGTTGTGTCTCATGTCCACACAACAGTTCAGTCCTGGAGGAGTGCTCCCCCTGCATTTACTTGTAATCCCACTACTCTACGCGTCTGCTCCCATGCTATTAAAAACACACGGCGGAAAATGGAGGATAAACATGTAGTCATCAGAGACTTGAATGCTCTCTATAATTTAAAGGTAACAGTTTTCTTCTTACGTTTTGGAGGTAGTTTTATTAAAACAGTTTGTTTGGACTGCAATAATGTTTACAGGAAATATAAAAAATCCATCCTATACTGTCTGATTGTTTATCTGTGTGATATTTTAACTTGTGGAAAATGTTGATCATAAATCATTTTGGTGGATGGTTTTAAATATAGAACTTAGAACTTTAAATAATTATGTAAATGAAGTTGTATAATAAGTGGGTGGATATAGGGAATAGGGTAGGTATAGAGAAGAGGGTATGTATTGTATGGACAAGAGGGTAGGTAGGCATAGGAAAGAGGGTAGGTATAGGGAAGTGGGTAGGTTTAGGGAAGTGGTCAGGTATAGGGAAGTGGATGGGTTTAGGGAAGAGGTCAGGTATAGGGAAGAGGTCAGGTATGGAGAAGAGGGTGGTAGGTATAAGAAAGAAGTTAGGTATAGGAAAGATATAGGGTAGGCATAGGGAAGAGGTCAGACATAGGGAAGTGGGTAGGTTTAGTGAAGAGGGTTGACATATTTTATTAGCTAGAACTCAATTAGTTAGCTCCATTAGCTAAAGCTATTAGAACCCTATTTGTTAAAACCTTATTATTTAAATGGATAATAGTTTAAACTCTATTAGTTAAAATGCTACTAGTCAAACGTCAGTGAAAACTCTATTATTTAAGACTCTATTAGTTAAAATGCTACTAGTCAAATGTCAGTGAAAACTCTATTATTTAAAACTCTATTAGTTAAAATGCTACTAGTTAAATGTCAGTGAAAACTCTATTATTTAAAACTCTTTTAGTTAAAAATAGTAGTTAAAATGCTACTAGTTAAAATGCTACTAGTTAATCTCTGTTAGTGAAAACTCTGTTAGTTAAACCTCTATTAGTTAAAAATGTATTAATTTAAAACTCTATTAGTTAAAATTCTATGAGTTAAAACTATTAGTTAAAACTCTGTTAGTTAAACCTCTATTAGTTAAAAATTTATTAGTTTAAAACTCTATTAGTTAAAATTCTATGAGTTAAAACTTTATTAGTTAAACCTCTGTTAGTTAAAACTCCATTAGTTAAAATTCCATTAGTTAAAACTTTATTAGTTACTGGTTCTTATATTCCCTGCTCCAGGACAGCCCGCCTCAGTCATACTTTGCCATCTTTGATGGCCACGGTGGAGTAGATGCCGCCATGTATGCTGCCACCCATCTTCATGGTCATTTAGTGTCAGACAAGTTGTTTCACGTGGACCCAGCCACAGCAATGAAGCATGCATACAAGACAACAGATATCAAGTTTCTGGAGAAAGCTAAGAGAGAGGTAAGACATTTATTAATGCCACTAAAGACTCAGCCTAGTTTCATTTCAAGTTCTAGTAAATTTTGAACTCAATGTTCTTGTAACTTTCACGTCACCTTCTTGCATTGTTTCTGTGGTGTGTGTGGGAGGGGGGGGGGGGGGTTGTGGTTGCCTGCTTTGAATTAAATTTTTTATCCTTCCATAAATTTTAAAAAAACATGATCACACTCTTTTAAGTACAAGTGCTAAACTTATTTTCTTGGCTTTATAAAAAAAAAAAATGTTTTTATCAGTATCATGAAACATATACTTTTCTCCAGAATTTGCGCAGCGGCACAACTGGCATATCGGTGTTGATTCGTGGGTCAGATCTCTATCTTGGCTGGCTGGGCGACTCACAGGCCGTGCTCGTGTGCGCTGGACGACCAGCTCAAATCATGGAACCCCACAAGCCAGAGAGAGAGGTGAGAAGGAAAGATCGGTGCAGATCAATGGCTTTTTTTTTTTAAAATGAATTATAATCTTATTTGTACCACCCTTTATTTTGGAAATGTAATAATGATATTTACAGTGATTGAGAAAACTATGATCCATAAAACTGATGTCAGTAGCTAACTTGGTTGAAAATTGTGACACATTTTTTAATATAATAATTATATATAATTTATTTTAAAGTTGCTTAAAAAATTTTGTTCTTTCAGTTATGGTGTTTTATTTTTGTTGTTGTCTCTTATGGTTAGTCACTCCCCTCCCCCCCCCCCTCCCATTCCCATTTCTGGGGACTTGTTGGTTTAGGGTCCTCACACCATGTTAAATGTTAACAAGCGCGTCTCTTTATTTTTACTTTTACGATTTGAAAATTTTTTTTTTTTTTCAGTTTTTGTGTTTTTTTTTTGTTGTTGTCTCTTATGGTTAGTCACTCCCCTCCCCCCCCCCCTCCCATTCCCATTTCTGGGGACTTGTTGGTTTAGGGTCCTCACACCATGTTAAATGTTAACAAGCGCGTCTCAGCACTAAGAAGATTGAGTGAAACACTGGTGTAGATTGAAAGGAACAAAGGAAGATATGAAAGACATTGGTTATTTGGGAAATAATTGAAAGGGATTGGAGGCAGATGAAAACTATTTATTATTTACAAAGACTAGAAAGTAAAGAAAATGAGCATGTTGTGTTGAATACAAGAAGGCTGACCCATTGATGCTATTCGTTGACAAGTTGTGTGAAAGGAACGATGGCTTATCCATTGATGATAACTAGCTATTGACTAGTTGTGTGAAAGATAAGAAGGCTGATCCGTTGATGATATTCATTGACTAGTGTTCATGTCTTTATAGCACAATTGATATCTCTTATGATTATCCATGTCTGCAGGATGAGAAACGACGTATAGAAGATCTTGGTGGCAGTGTTCTATTCATTGGTGTGTGGAGAGTTAATGGGAATATCTCTGTATCAAGAGCCATTGGTAAGTGAAAGCATGGGAATATATCTGTGTCAAGAGCCCTTGGTGAGTGAAGGGAATATCTCTGTGTCAAGAGCCATTGGTAAGTGAAGGGAATTATACCATTGTCAACAGTCATTGGTAAGTGAATGTATAGGAATACATCCGTGTCAAGAGCCATTTGTAAATGAATGCATGGGAATATATCTGTGTCAAGAGCCATTTGTAAGGGAATGCATGGGAATACATGTGTCAATAGCCAATGTTAAGTGAATGCATGGGAATATATCTGTGTCGATAGCCAATTGGTAAGTGAATGCATGGGAATACTTGCTATTTAAACTGAATTGTGGGAAACATTAGGTCATTTAATCCTTTGCAGTAGAAAATGTGTGTTGATGATCCTAATGTGTTAACTGTAAGGTTAATGGGATGGAAATCTTAAAAATATTTTGATTTATAAATCACCAAGAAAAAAACTTTTGTGGACTCAATTTAAGAATCACTGATATTAATTGTTGCTGGCTATCTATGGATGTGGATTGGTAGTGTTGTAATGGGGGGTATTAAGGGGGAGGGGGGGGGTCAGCAATATAAAATATCTTATTTTTTACTTTTAATAAGTTGTTTAAACAAGTTGTCTCCCATGCCATAAGATTATCTTTATTCCAGGGGATGCCACTCACAAGCCTTTTATCTCAAGTGATGCAGACGTCAAGAGTATTAAGCTGACAGGAGAGGAGCAATTCCTGGTGATTGCTTGTGATGGTTTATGGGATGTCCTGACACCAGCACAGGTCAGGAATCATCTTAATGGCATCTAACTCACCTTTGTAATAATCTCTTTTCCATATTAGACAAATATACACAAATAAAATGACTGCTAGATTTTTTTCACATGACTGTTGATCAGCAAACTCAGTTGGTTTTTTAATTAAAATTAAATGTTAACTTGAATCATAATTTATGTAAATTTAAATTAAATGTTAAATTGAATCCTAATTTATTTTATTATTATTTTAAAAAGTTTTAGACCTTAAAATCCAAAATAATGTCTGCCATTTTACACAGCAACTTCAAATAAACATTGTTATTTTTACTAGATGTTTACTAAGACTGTAAAACATGAAATTTTAAAAAATTGAAATGTGTCAACTTGAGAGTTGTTAACTTCTCTTGATTTTTTTGTGAGGTAGAATAGATTTCTTATCTAAATAGATTTCTTATCTAAATACATTTCTTATCACAATACATTTATCTGAACAGATTTCTTATCTGAATAGATTTCTTATCTCAATACATTTCTTATCTCAATACACATTTCTAATCTCAATATATTTCTTATCTCGGTACATTTCTAATCTCAATATATTTCTTATCTCGATACATTTCTAATCTCAATATATTTCTTATCTCGATACATTTCTAATCTCAATATATTTCTTATCTCAATACATTTCTAATCTCAATATATTTCTTATCTCGATACATTTCGTATCACACAGGTGACCCAAATTGTTTATGATCATGTACACAGCTCTCCAGATGGACTTGATGATGTGGCCAGTCTACTGGTCAAAGCAGCCAGGGATTCGGGCTCATCAGATAACATATCAGTTATTGTGGTTTTCTTCCAAACATCTTTGACCGACCCCGAGTCCGTCACAGACAGCAGCTGTTTACTGAATGTGACAGAACATTCTGACAGTGCTAAAGACAGATCAACAAAATCTACCTCAGTGGACCCGGTTGTCCCCAAGCCGACGTTATCAGCCAATGAGAAGGTCAAGACTAAAAACTACAAAATGGGTCAGTCACAAACTCGATCTAAGGGCAGTATAATGAAATCCATATCACTTTACCTCAGCTCTGCGGCACACTGTTGGCATTCATAGCTTGCTGCTTATCATTGTCTGCATTTTTTAGCATGTTCTACACTACTGCTGGCATCTTTAGTCCGCTATAAACAATTTACTCCACAACAAGATCCAGATGGTTTTGTCCATCATCTTGTGACCATCACAACCAGATTCTGATGGATCCATCTTCTAATCCACCTACAGCTGTCATTACCAGATTCTATCAGGTCCATCATCTTATGACCGTCACAACAAGTCTAGCAGGTCCATCATCCTACCGCTGCCATGACCAGATTCTGTCAGGTACTTCAGCTGTTAGCCAGCAGCATGACCAGGGACCAGAGTTCACCCTGCAAGAGTCACTTTACATTTAACATAACGCTTTAATGGTAGGGATATTTTGCTGGAGTTGCTCCACCATATCTGACTTGTACTTTTTATCTACAAAATTTACGCTAGTGGAAATGAAAACTTTATAAACAGAGATGTCAAACTTGACTTGTTTCCCAAACCCCCCCACCCCCCCACCTCATACCTCTTCCCTCATCATTTGAAATGAACATTACCTGTAATTGTTTGGAAGACTTTCATCAGTGAGTGAGCTACCAACTTTAATGCCATTCTGTTATAAAAATTCTATGTACCCAATTTAATGCCATTACGTTGGTATGTAAAGTCTGTGTACCCAATTTGATGCCATTATGTCGGTATATGAAATCTAGGGTTTTCAGAGTTTACCCCTTCAGGACCTGGAACAGACCTGTTTACTCTTACGATTTTGGCGTACAACGTATGATTTAGAGGTGTAAACATTATATATACTCCATGTTTATTTTTTACTATAAATATATGGTATTAAACGATTTTGTCATGATATTGTACGATTTTAAGAGTTTGAGGGTAAACAGGTCTGCTGGAACCAGAAATACTTGTTATGAACCTTTTTGTTAGATTAATTTAAAAAAAAAAAAACATGCAAATTCTGGGTTGTGATATCATCTGTGCTTTTTGTGAAGTATTCTATCAAGTGGGATAGTGTCATGCTCCTTGACGCCAGTTGTCTTGACTTGGTTCACTAAGTCATAGTCTAACTAAGTCAAAGTCAAACATTTGCATTTGTTCACTTATTGTCATTGTGATCAAAGTATACAGTTGAAATTAATATTGTCTTGTTAACAGCACAAAGTATACAATTGAAATTAATATTGTCTTGTTAACAGCACAAAGTATACAATTGAAATTAATATTGTCTTGTTAACAGCACAAAGTATACAATTGAAATTAATATTGTCTTGTTAACAGCAGAAAGTATAAAATTGAAGTTAATATTGTCTTGTTAACAGCACAAAGTATACAATTGCAGACTTTCCTTTATTGAAGTTGAAATAAACATTTTTTGTATGTTTTGTATTATCTCCCCTAGTCTTCAATTTATCATTAGCGGCGTTAGCACCCAACAAAAAAATTAAAGTTTGCTTCTGACAAAGAAGAGCAACTTATAATTACCACACAAAAAATCTCTGACTCACCATGTTGTTATTATTTTCTTGGATCTGATCTTCAAGAATGTCATGACTGCGCCTTGTGTATCACCACCCAGTAGTTTTAATGTTGTAGATGTATTCTCTTACTCTTAGTGTACAACTAATAAATCTCAAAGGTCCAGGCAAATGTTATAGTGGTGCCAGAGTTCTCTAGTGCACAACTAATCCACCTCACAGTCCAGGCAAATGTTATAGTGGTGTCAGAGTTCACTAGTGTACAACTAATCCACCTCACAGTCCAGGCCAATGTTATAGTGGTGTCAGAGTTCACTAGTGTACAACTAATCCACCTCACAGTCCAGGCCAATGTTATAGTGGTGTCAGAGTTCACTAGTGTACAACTAATCCACCTCACAGTCCAGGCCAATGTTATAGTGGTGTCAGAGTTCACTAGTGTACAACTAATCCACCTCACAGTCCAGGCCAATGTTATAGTGGTGTCAGAGTTCACTAGTGTACAACTAATCCACCTCACAGTCCAGGCCAATGTTGTAGTGGTGTCAGAGTTCACTAGTGTACAACTAATCCACCTCACAGTTCAGGCCAATGTTGTTGTGTCAGAGTTCACTAGTGTACAACTAATCCAGCTCACAGTCCAGGCCAATGTTGTAGTGGTGTCAGAGTTCTCTAGTGTACAACTAATCCACCTCGCAGTCCAGGCCAATGTTTCAGTGGTGTCAAGTAAAGTTTCCTAGTAAAAATTCATCTGTATTTCTATATTTGATTGGATCATCTCTTATTCTCCACTGTTATAATACCCTCCCTTGTTCTATAAATAGTATTATATCTTGTTACCCCAGCTAATCTTGGCATGGCTTACTTACACAATGCATCAACCTCATATTTGTCACTTGTTGTTATGTTACATTAATATTTTATATTTTTTATATGCACATTATTTCTTTCAAATTAGCTGCCATCTTTCACTCAGATCAGTGGTTTCAACACAAACTGTTAACAACCCCATGTATAAAACAATAATATCCCCCTCCTCCCATGACCACATCATGCCATAAATAGGCATATTTAAATAACAAGGCCAACACCCCCCCTCCCTTTTTAAAAAAAAAAACAACTTACCACACCAGGTGTGGAAACCACCCAGTTAAGGCACTTGGACATGTTTATGCTGGAGCACAGCTTGCATACAACTTTAGGGCACATTTATTTACTTTGCAACCTTCTGGTCTGAGGCCACTATGAATATAAATACGTCTCTAAAATAAACAAATCAAATAAATTTATTCATTGAAAAATAAATCTATAACAAATAACATGTTTTTAAAATAAATTTTTTATAGTTACTTGTTTCATTTTGAAATTAGTATCCTGATCAAATGTTGCAGTGGAAATGTTAAGCAACAACATATAGTTTTAAAATATGATCCTAAATTTATTTCATCATCCCACTACACAAAGTTCTAGTCCAGGGATTCCCAATCTTTTTGTAGCACTGCAACCCCCTCAATTTCAAAAGGTTTCCTGCACACAAACACACACCCCCAGCCGAAGAAAAAAAAATTAAATTTTGTCTGCCCAGTAAGTTTAATGCAAACATTTCAATATTTTTAATTTCAATAAATCTTAAGCTGTAGATGACTGGTAGAGTTATAGTAAAGGTTTTAAAGGCTATTTTTAAAAATATATTCTAAATGTAGCAGATGTGACAACTATATGTTACCTTTTAGCAAATGGAACAACTATATGTTGCTTTTTAGCAGATTTGGCACCTACACATTACCTTTTAGCAGATGTGACACCTATACATTACCTTTAAGCAGATGACATTTTATAATTTTTAAAAGACTTTTTTAACATCCCCCCCCTCCTCCAGTCTTGTTGGTGTTTTTGCTTCAAATATTTCTTGGTCTTCCCAAAACTCTGGTTAAGAACCCTTAAGTCAAACACTGTTGCTGAGGTCCATGTAGTAAAATAAGTCAAACACTGTTGCTGAGGTCCATGTAGTAAAATGGTATGATGATACTTAAGCTTAGTTCATGAACATAGATTCTTCTCATTGGTGCTAAATACAAATTGTGTTAGTTTTTGTCTAGAACTTGTGCAATGATCTTAAACCTCATGATATTTGACTTAATTTTTTTTTTCTCTCACTAATGGCGCACAGTGTCTTTGTGTGGAGTTCAATAATTGATTGTATGATCAGCAACAATTTGGATTTCAGCCAGACGCAATCTACTAGGAATTTGGCTGTGGTCTTTTAGTTTTATCCTAGTTAATGCTGGATAGTCACTGATAAGGAGTTACTCCACATGTGGCTCTTTTATCTTATTGACAATTTACAATCTTATTTTTTTTTTTGTGTACCATAATCAAATTGCTTATCACTAAATTAGCGGCAACTGAAATATATTTTCCAATAAAATATGATTTAATGTTGAATAAATGTGGTTGATTAAGTTATGACTGTCCATATATTCCAATTGATTAGCCATGTCCGCTGAGAGATCTTAACCAGCAACTCTACACTACTGTAGCTTTTACATTTTATGTATTTTTGTATTATAACAGAGAAAAATTCTATAAAATGTTGTTTTATTTAATGTCATGTTACATGTATTTAATGTGATATCTGAAAATACATGAATTTATTTATTTATAACTGATATTTTTTTAGCCAAGATGCGTTAAGTCTTCAGGCATTTAATAAAATTATGTGGGCATTCATCAGTTTGATGTGTGTGTCAATATTGTCATCTGACAAGACATTTCATCACAAGACATTTCATCACAAGACATTTCATTGCAAGACATTTCGTAATAGGACTTTTAGTTGTGAGTTTCTAGTAAATTTTGGACTTTAGGAATGAAGAAACCACAGTTGTGCCACTGTCCCAAGTTGACATGTGGATCCGCTGTCTTACAAAGTATCAAGCCGTTCAGCTGATTTAGTATGTGTATGCAGGGAATGGATAATTGCCTGTATAATCTTCTGGCTAGTTAGAAGGACTCATATTCATGACAAAACTATGCTAAAGACCCGTTACGAGTTTTCCTAGAGCAATCATTGGTTCAGATCTCAGCCTGGGCTAGTAAATGTATTTGTTCGGTCTTATTTAGAGCAATTTAATCAAATTACAATATGTTCATTCTGAACCTGGGCTTCTTGTTTGGAAATATGTCAGGGGAATGGGTGGGAGGGGGTGTGCTTTAGGACTGGGTCAGAGGAGATTTTTATCATTTTTGTCCAGTTCATTGAAAGACAATTATTTATGAAATGACAATCATTGCTTGACCAGTATGTGGACATCTGACCATGCTTTTATTATGTGACTTTGTTTACTTACTCTTGTGTGTTTGTGGTCTGTCTTCTGATACCGTTGTGTCAGGTCTGTCTTCTGATACCGTTGTGTCAGGTCTGTCTTCTCTAGTCTCCTTGTGTCAGCTATGCCTTCTGGTACCCTTTTGTTAAGTCTGTCTTCTCTAGTCCCCTTGTGTCAGGTATGCCTTCGGGTACCCTTTTGTTAAGTCTGTCTTCTCTAGTCCCCTTGTGTCAGGTATGCCTTCGGGTACCCTTTTGTTAAGTCTGTCTTCTCTAGTCCCCTTGTGTCAGGTATGCCTTCGGGTACCCTTTTGTTAAGTCTGTCTTCTCT